ACCCCGAAGGGGTAGGCAGAGGTATACCTCTGCCTACCCCTATAATAAAAGGCGTGATGATGTTATGTTATCTTTTCCATGCGTTTGCCCATTATTAAAACTAAGGTGGCTAACACTGTTCATTACATGTAAGTACGTATCTATTAAATTATTGGATATACAATCAATGATGAACTCTTGTCGGTGGAGGAAGCGAAAGAGGTATGTAAGAATCGTAACAATTGGCGTTCCATAGTCTCTGTCTACCTCCATGGGAGACAGTTTTGTATGTATGTATGATCAGTCGAATCGAACCCAGTCTCATGTCAACAATTTTTGTCTTTATTGTGATAAGTTAATCAGAATTCTTTAAAATGTTTTTAAATAAAAACTGAAAACAACCCAATAATTCTTTGCTTGAAACAGGAATCGAATCCTCTCGCTCGAAAATGGATTCACAAGTCCTTAATACCAAAAAAATTACAATATATTTAACAAAAATAGACATAGTCTTGTAGTTTCCTTAAATCTTGATCTCACGAACCCACGATGAAATTGTATTGGACATGCCCTTATCAGTTCTCCGTCCAGTAGTATGAAAGCACACGGGCAAGAAGAATGACAAGGGCACGGCACAATACATTCTTCTATCTTCTTTCATCTTCTCAAAAGCAGCAAAATAAATCAACATCCAACCCCATCTACCGGCGAGTAGCAAGCAACTTTTACTTTAAGTTGTACAACCTAGATGGCGTGCTTCACAACTCCTGCATCCTAAGTGTGAGCAAGTTGCGAGTTTGTCACAGAGTAAAATGCAGAAATTGATGGTTGTCCGTGCTTGCTACCTGTAGATACTACAGAAATGGTAATTTTATACACTATACAGTAAAATTAAACATATATACAAACAGATTATATGTATTAGAACAGGATTATTCAAGTTTTGATCTAGACGTAACATTAAAACTAGTAAATACATTATTTTTATTGATTATAAACCATTAACATTCAGAAATAACGAAATATCTGTATACAAATACAACAAAAAAACTATAATTCGACTCTATACAATAGAAAAATCACTATTAAGGCTAAAAATTATGAATAAACTCCCGAGTACCTGCAACAAACAGAAAAAAAAACAATTAATTACAATAAAAATAAGATGGCGGCTCTGTAATGACACCCAAACATTCGACCTCTGACCTATTGTACTAACAAACAGTTTTTTAATTAAATTTGTCAAAAAAAGAAGGAATTATATTATTCTTCGCATTCTTCTTAATATTCTGATAGACATGATAATGCGGTGGAAACGGTATTGTGTGTCCGTTTGTTTATTCAAGAAAATGATTAAGAATAAAATAAGGTCGATTTCAAAGACCTTACCGTTGCGTTGGTGAGGTTTTTGGTGATTTTCGGGGGAATATATGTAGTTTAATAGGAACTAGTTGTATTTTTATTGAAGAAAGGTTAAAATTATATATACCTAACGACAGATGAATGCTAGAAGTAGACACGATATAGTAATATTAAAAATCAGCTTTCAGCACCACTATAAATATAATATAACTGAAGGGGTAGGCAGAGGTGCACAAAGAAGTAACACCCACTTTACACTATTTATGTTATGAGTCCAAAGTAATAGGGATTGAGCCTATTGCCATATACCGGGCACAATTCCGGACTCCGTGCTACTACTGAGAATTTTTTTAAGAACCCATTAATACTTTGCCCGACCCGGGAATCGCACCCGAGACCTTTGCCTGGCAGTCGCATTTGCGACCACTCGGCCAACGAAGCAGTTGCTTTATATATGTAGCTAGAAGATATATACAAACTCATCTCCTATACCTCTTGTCAGTCGATATACTGAGACACAATAGAGGTAGATAACGTGTGTCTCATGTAGATCTACGCCCTGACATAAATCAGAGGTTAACTAAACCACTAAAACTTCATGTCCACTTATTATCATCGAATCTAGATAGTCTTCCATTACTAAATACTAGAAAAAGACCAAAGTCAAAGTCGAAGTCAAAGAATTTATTTCAATTAAACCATAATTTGGTACTTTTGAAACGTCAACAAATCAATATCAATACATAGTATAAAACAAAGTCGCTTTCGCTGTATGTCCGTATGTATGCTTAGATCTTTAAAACTACGCAACGGATTTTGATGCGGTTTTTTTTAATAGATAGAGTGATTCTTAAGGAAGGTTTATATGTATAATACATGCATATTGCACCCGTGCGAAGCCGGGGCGGGTCGCTAGTACAAAATAAATAATAGTCTGTCAGTCCATCCGTCAGTGAAGCTAGGTTTAGCTAGGTGCTCATTCCAGAATGTAGATTCGAATGGAGAAGAACGAGCAAGAAACTCCATTCGTTACTCTTTTTAAACTGTCAAACACCAAGCGGTCACCGGTGACCGCAACCTATTGTTCTATAATTGTGTCTATAATGACGGTATTCGACGAGTTAAAAAAGTATGTTCTACAATGTCTCTGATATATATTCCAATCTACAATCTAACCATCTTCATCAAACTACAAAAGAACAGTATTTACAACACAAATAGGTATAACAGTTATTACTAACCAATTTGATACAATCTCAAACAACGTCGTGGACAGCTGGACTACGATTTATAAAAATAAAATCACTCAACTATGTTCTGGGGGTCGTGGGGGGTGAAATTTTTCATGTTCCGTGTCATTGGACCCCCCTAGGGGTCTGTTGGTGGCACACAGACGATGGGAACTAAGATTAGGATGGCCGTATCTCGGTTAATTGTGAAGGAATTGAAGTTGGGACGTTTTTGTTGGTTTATTAGCTGTAGACATAGTTGTTATGTAAGTGGTGCTTATGTAATTGTAACTTTAGAATGTAGAGTGTGTTATAGTCATTTTGATTATCTGTTTTGGTAGGTAAGTCATCATTAATCATAATAAGTGACCACTACTGACCAAAAGCCTCTTTTTACACGAAGATGGTTTGAGTATTAATCACCACGCGTGCTCAATGCGGGTTGGCGATTCCAAACTTATAATTCGAAATTATAAGCACAGGTTTCCTCACGATGTCATCCTTTACGATGTCATTCCGTCAGTGGTGCCTAGATAATCTTAGAAAGTATGTATAACTGGGAAAAAGTCACATTGGTACCTTCTGTTGGTAGGTTTCGAACGTACTCTCATGCATGAGAAGCTGAATAATAGTTTTAAGAAATCTTAAACTGGTTTTTTACATCTATAAAGAGATTGAGGAAGTACTATGGAATAGGAAAGTTGAAATCAAGACGTTACTAAAAAAAATCTCTAAAACAATCACGTTTGAACTAAGAAGCAAAACTGACATTGAGTTTTTTATGCGTCTAACCCGCCACAATCTCCTAAAACCGCTGCAATTCCTGTAAGCCAGGATCAACAGTAGATACAACCATGAAAACACCGGAACACTGAAGTATGGCGCGTCCCAGAGACATGAATAACTGTCTTGAATGGATATTATAAGAGGAAAGGATGTCTAACTTCTGCTTAACTTAAAAAACCGACATTGTACAGAAATACTTGCATTTTACACTAAAAAAGAAGAAAATACATATCCAACCCTCGCTAAACGAGAAAAAATCAATTGGAACACGCCACAACCGGTCGATTAGACCCCAGATTAACGCTTGACTGGAGTGGTCGCCAGCTACCGCTCGTAAATCCAAACGTGGTCCATTTGACCAGCCGTCCCGACCTCACGCCAATTTTAACTTAGGTTTTGAGGGTTAAAGAATCGTTCACGTTTTGTTGAAGTCGTTTTTTTTATAATAATTTGTTATGACTTGTGCTTTGTGTGGTTTGGTTTCTGAGTGCGGTTGTATATTGAGCGGAGAGTCGAGCAAAGTTAATATTGAACTGCATTGGTTTAGTGCAAAGACTGAGTTATCGGCAGCCGTTCAAGGTGACACGAGTTCGATCCTCACACCAAGTAATTCTTTAGTTCAAGAAACAAAGTTACAAATCTATGTCCAAAAATGACTATCAAATTGTAATATAACTATAATGAGACAAAGTATGAAGAAAAAACCCCTAAAATAAAATATAAAAAATAATAATCTCCTACTCACTCATTGAGCTGGAGCCCTGGTAACTCTTGTGGCTTCATTGTTTCGTCTGAGAACTGACCTTAGTATTTTTTATCACCCAAAAACCACAGGTGCAATCACAAAACCAATCTCACCAACAAACGAAATACAAAACAAATCATTATACCTAAATGATTAAAACAAATATGTCACGACCGTAATTAAGAAGGAAACATCCATCTGAAAGTATACCCACTAAATAACAACACTAAAAGACAGTTTCCTTCGAAAATTTCACAATTATTAACGGTGCCACTTGGGCACCATTAGGAGAAGTTGATAGATAAGCGTACCCTTGTCAGTCGCTGACTGGGAATTGAATTCTGAACCTCTCACCCCCATCCCATCACTCACTTTGCCGTTAAAATTACTATAGTTCGGTTATGAACGCTCACAACGATTAATGAATTCAGGCAAGGTTTACAAGCTATATTGAAAGACGGGAATTAGTGGAGACTCCGCCTATGATTCGTGAATTCTTGATTTAAGGTTTGTGTTCTCTGATGGGTATGATGTTTGGCGTGTAGACATGGTAAAAAGAACACAATTTACAATATCAATTCTTTATCGTGGAAGGCATTAACATAATATAACATCACGCTTTTTATTACCGAAGGTGTAAACATGACAGAGGTGCACATTACGACACTTAATGCCACTGTGCAATGTAACACCCACTTTTTACTATTTATATTATGAGTCCCATTTAATAGGAGGTGAGGCTATTGCCATATGCCATATTCCAGGCTTCGTGCTACTACTGAGATTTTTTTTAAACATGGCTCTATTAATGTTAGGTATATACATCTGGAGGTGAAGCGATGAACGAATAAAGAGACCTTTAGTCACCAAAAAGTATCATAAGTGCCTTCTTAGATGCTATAGTTTTGGTACGAACCTTTCCCTTTGCATGGGTGGGGGTCTACGGTAACTGACGTTAGTAGAGAGGACTTCCTTTCAGTGTTCTATTGGCAGTCAAATACTTAAGTAAAGATTTCGAAACACGAGTCAAAATACTAAACAACAAAATATACGTATTAAGTGTGGGAGAGCCATGTTTCGGCACGAATGGGCTTTCTCGACCGAAGTGATACCACGGCCGATACAGAAAACCGACGTGAAGCAACGCTTGCGTTATGTTCGTCGTGTGAGTGAGGTTACCGGAGGCCAAATCACCCTCCCCTTCCCCAATCTCCCCAATTCTTGAATCCCTAACGATCCTCAAACTCCCAATCCCCAAAAGGCCGGTAACGCACTTGTAACGCCTCTGGTGTTCCAGGTGTCCATGGGCGACGCAGATTGCTTACCATCAGGTGATCCGTTTGCTCGTTTACCGGCTTATGTCATAAAAAAAATATATACTAATAAGTCGCAAGCAATTACCAAAAAACTCCGTCCACTGAAAACAGGTTTACTCCACGTTATTTTTCTTAAAAAAAATACATTATTATCGCGACAATTAATAACATGAGGTAGTTAGCAGTGACAGAAAACTCATAAGAGGTCGTTATGACCCCTAGAATGACCGAAACGACCCCCGTTAGATACATTATTGGGGGCTGAAATAGCACTAAATCAATTTTTAATTCAACCTCCGCAGATTGTACACTTTTGTAATTAATTTACTTACTTTTAAACTAAATGGAGTGTGCTGGGAAATTGAAATTGTTGGGAACATATTTGGCTGAAAAATATGAGTTTCAACCATTTTTTAAAGTTTGTTAATGGTTGTAAAGTAGCATCGTTATTGGTTTTCCTAATACAGTAGTGATTTTGTTATCCTACTAATGGTAGATTAGTTGTTATTCCTTCACATCAAAACAGTAGAAAGAATTGAGATGAGATTTGAAACAGAGGTAGGTTAAGGTGGCTTACTCTTGAATCCAATTCCGATCGATCGACATTGGTATTGTGAAATTTCGTACTCTTGACTTGCAACACTAGCACCCATTGCATCCGTATTGCGTGGATATTGAATGA